CTATAACAACCATCACTCACACATTCAACTTTTGAACCAAACTCTTCATATTTCTTGTCCTTGTTCAACCCTTTACTCTTAATATGATGTCAAAACGTTCGCGCGGGTTCAGAAACGTGTTCAGCGACCTCCCCTTGCGAAAAGGAAAATATATGGAAAATATGTGTCAATATATGACTCCATATATGTTTCATGCATTGCCAATATAATTGTATCTTGCTCAATATATTGCAAATTATCTTGCGCAATACGTGGTTTATATATGGGGGTATATCTTGGTGCCCATTAATATATTATGCATATATTTCCCCATATAATATTATCTTCGCGAAATGTATGTTTCAATATCTGACACGGTTCCCGTCGTGGGATGGGGCAGGGTGAGGAGGGCAGACTTTTCAACTAACTTTTCTTAATATCTTGGCACTCGATGTTAAAAGGCGGCTATATTTCTTAACATGATTTTATGTTGTAAAATATATTGACACCATATATTGAGCAGGGGCAAGGTTCTTTTCCATGCGTTTAAGTCTCCAAGAAATTTTAAGAAATCCTGTTTAACAAGTTAACTGGAACAGTTAGGAAATTTTAAACGTCTTTTTTGAGTGTAGCGCGAAAAGTTTGTCTAGGCGACCACGGCATGATCACGATTGAGTGTTCTCGCAAGGCGAGGCTACATTCTTTGATAATAGTAAAGGAAGTCTCTGAGTCGTCAGACTCCATGGTGTATTCGCACTATATATTGCCTACATAAAGAGCAATGTATGAAATTTATATATTTGCCACATATTTTTTATATCGGAAAAGTATCTTGCTAAATTATCTTTTCCACATAGGTCGTCAATACATGTTGGGCCATATATTTTGTCCATATAGTGCCCACATATTTTCCATTTTGCAAGGGTCATTTTAGCCGGAAACGACACCCATGACGCACCTATTCAATTTTTGACCGAAACTGACTATAACCTGGTAGCTTATCATCCGTTCAAAACCACCTAACAGAAATTTTGAGTGCAGAAATGTATTTAGCGACCCAAAATTGGTCGGAAACGACACCAAACACGGGTGCATTAGTGTAAATACGCTAGAAAGCGAAAATAGCCGCCATTTTGAAAAAACGGCTGATTTAGGGAATACCCGTTGGTCGGAGGGGTGGAATGATTCGCGCGTAGAGGCCTTTTCGTGTCCACAACCCTCCCAGAGGAACTTATCGAGTGCAGTCCATTATACAAAAAATCTTGTTTGGCTACAATAGCTTTTCCCTTGTATAAACTTTCAAAGCTAATTGTGACGCGGAAGAGGCCAAAGGGTCGATTTTGTAAGTTCCGTCTGTCATTGCACCTTACACCAACTTGCGGCTCTATAACCCTTCGTCCATTCAAATCTCGAATTCCCCCACACCCACAAACTCTACTAATATGACTTTCTTGCTGAATTTGAAGATCGTTATTGGTTGGAACTGTACTTCAGAACGCGTACTAAATGTCACCGTACCCGACTTTACACTTGCGGTTTCAAAGTAAGCACCAAAAACACTAAGAGTGCTTCCTGCTAAACCACGCCGTTTCAGAATCACACGGCTGTTACTTTTGAAGAATTTCGGTGGCGTGAGGGGGTGAGTGTCGAGTGGAAATTGTGTGTAAATCGTGGTTTAACAATTGGTGTAATTTCCGTATGCCCCTCTCGCTCCTCGTCTATTGGGTTTTGAAAGACATCCTACACGTGAAAAGATGTGTCTTGACGTCGAACTAGTGTGCCAAACTTATGGCATATTTCTGTGGCGATATGCAGTTGAAGTGAGCCAAAAACACCTGTTTGTAATTTCCGTGAAGCGTAATTTCCGTCATATTTTCAGTTAATTTCGTCATATTTTATAGGGGGAGAAAACGAGAGTCAATTTTTAGCTCGCCCACGCTCAAGTGTCTTTCTGGGTTCAATTGATGCCATCTAGGCCACATTCCGGTCGAACAAGCAAGATTGATTACTTGACTTTCTAGGGGGCTAAAACGGCCCCTACGCACGGAATCACCCGGGTTCGAAAACCTCGGCATTCGCCTCAGCATCCTCGAAATATTCGGAAACGACCCCAGGATGGTGAAAATAGGACTATTATCAAAAATTTTGAATATTGGCCGCCATTTTGTTAAAAATGTTCAAAAATTGAACCCAAATGCAAAAATCGAAAAGAGCAACGGGTCAAATCCTTTAAAATGGTCTTAGGAACAAGTGTACCAAGTTTCACGCTTCTATACCTTTTTGCGGTTTTTTACTGGGTTGGGACGTGTACCGCCTAGACTAAAACACGCCTGTTGCACTGTGGGGAAAAATCACAGTAAATCCTGTTGTGATTAGTACAGCTGTCACTGTAGTTCAGAGTACAGGATTTACTGTACTTTTTTACAGGATCTACTGTACTTTGTACGGGATTTATTGTACCACGGGGATGGAGTACGGAATATCCTGTACCAGGTACAGTAAGTATTGTAGCCAGGCACAGTAAACCCTGTGTTCTGAACTACAGTGAATCCCGGCAAAAAAATTAACGGGATTCGCTGTGGTTTTTTCGCACAGTGTGGGCGGGCGGACTACCGTGCCTATCTCCTAAACGGTTTGAGATACAACTCTATGCGTGGTCTCATTCGAATCAGCGTGTCTTTTTCTACAAGGTAAGATTACGTACACACACCAAGAAGGCAGAGACCGTCAAACAATGCTCAAAACCTGCATTTCATGAAAAATAAATGCCAAAAATTGCATACTTTGAACCGCTACATCTCCTAAACGGTTTGACAGAAAAATCTGCGCGTGGTCTCATTCGATTCAGCGGGTCATTTTCTACAAGATCATCAAAAGTTTTTGTCCACATTTTTTTACCAGAAACCCCGACAAAGAACTGTTTTTTTTGGTGTTTTTAGGGTGTTTTGGGGGGTTTACTCTACAGGTATTCGTCGGAAGTCAAATCTGCGGTCATATTCTTGTTCCTTGGCCAATTTTACATGAAGTGACCAAATTTTAGCCCTCTACTATGAAAAGTGCAAAAGAAGTCCAAAATACCCAAATTCGTGTTTTTTCTCCAAAAGTTAAGGGGGGACCCTGGTGAAAAAATCGCCAAAATTCCAAAAAATAGTATTTTCACAGTTCATAGATAAAAATGTGCATAGAAGGTTTCAAATTCAACAGGTTGAACACCTTTAAGCTAAAAGGGTAGTTTCTTTATCATTTGGAAGGAAATAACATTGAGATCAGTTGTCGTTGGCTTCTACGCTCAACTTCACAGCTTTGCTCAGTCGACAAAAAAATTTGTCGTAGAAAGACTTCCTGCGTTCCTGGTTGACACCTACATGAGTCGTCTTGCATGGACTCTATTCATTGATGACTTGTCGACAAATTTTAGTGACGGAATCTTGATATCAGCCCTACTTTTTTTAAAACACACCTAAAAGTTTGAAAAAAGGGGAAAAAATCACTTTTTTATTAATGTTGAAATTTGAAAACTCATATCTCAGAACAGAAGTTCAATTTGAAAATTCCGTCACTAAAATCTCTTCTATACATCTTTAGGATAACCCAAAAAAATTTTCAAGACTTTCCGTCCCAATGAAAGACGCAGGAAGATTTTTCCCCAACGCTCCAAAAAACACTAAAAAGCCACTTTTCTCAGAGACCGTTCAACATTTTGGGTTGAATTTTGTTTTGGGAACTCACCATAATGAACCTCATAATTAAGCAAAGTTTCAACTTTCTGGGATTATTTTGAAGCCTACTTGAAAGTTTCACCAGGGTCCCCCCTTAAGGGGGTAGTAGCGTCATTTACACGTGTTTTGACGATTTTCGAACCTCCTGTTTAGACGTAATATAAAGATAAATTTGAATAACAGCGAATAACAGAGACAAACGGCAGGCACTATTTTAAAGAAAAAAGTTTTTACAACATTTTCAAAAAAAACAACAAAAAAACAAGAAAAACTATTGGAACGCTCATCTTCAACTTTAGATGGAAATGAACCACATTTTTTCTTGCTCAAAATTGAAACCCAAGGGTCACTTTCTGGGCGATTTCATGCTTTTTCAGATGCATTTTACCGATTGGTAAAAAGTTAAAAACTTTGGCTGCAATCGTGCGCGCAGTGACCCCTTATAATTTTGCAGACCATTTTTGCATAGAACACAAAACATCCTAATTCAATGCTAAAACAAAATATTTTTTTAAAATGTTGCAAAAACTTTTTTCCTTAAAATGGTGCCTGCCGTTTGTCTCTGGCGTTCATACTTATCTCTTTGTAAACGTCTAAACAGGAGGTTCAAATATCGTCAAAATACGTTCAAATGACGCTACTGCCCCCTTAAACTGAAGTTGGCCATATCTCGGGCAATAAATTTTGCCGGACCTAATATTTTGGCTTTAGACTCTCCTTTAGTTAGTTGTTCCGCTGCGTGTGGAAACCTACAGGACTCATGCGTGGCGCGTGACCCCGGGCACGCGGCTCGCAGGCGCGTCCAGAGCGCGCCACGCCCATCACACCATTCTAGTCGTTCTCGAGTCGTTCGCTGTCCATTCGACAGTACAAGCATGTCACAACATTTATTATTTACATTTCCTTTCTCTTCTTCCCTGTAGAGCTGTGCATGTAAACGTATCAGCTGGGAAATCCCCTTCCCAACCAATCGGGCGGGATCCAAAACATGAAAGGAGGAAGCCGAGTCTGTCTGAGGAACTGAAGAGGGAGGGCGGCCGCGCGGCTCGACGGAGTCAAATATAGCCCGAAGGTCCCCCCCACACATGGGCCTCAGGGGAAGGGAGAGGGGGGGAGCCTTCTTGCAAGCGCTAGTGAGTCCGACCACATGCCCCTCCGGCGCGCCGTAAATACTCCGGGGTAACAACATGCGCCGTAAGGGTGTTGGCGCGTCAGCCGCCACTCCTTCCTCCCCCCCCCCCTCTTCCCCACCAAGCGGCGCGCTGGGGCCCTCGCGCGGCCTGTCCACTGCCGACCCGGCCAGTGCGTCGGCAACGCCCATTGGAGAGGCTGGGTCTCGGAGCACGCGGCCACACCCCGTCTGCGCAGAGCTTCGGACAACAGGTAGGAGCGTGGCGTTGCCGCGGCGTAGTGCGTGAGGCGTCCAGGGCGACGGACTTCCCACTCGTTATTTGGATGTGCGCACCCTTTGAAGTTCGATTCCCGCACTAAATTCACTAAGAAAGAAAAGCAGATACATGAGGAAAAAAAACTTGCTTGTGTTTGGTGTTTTGTGTCACCAGTAACCACCGCCCACCCAATACACTGCTAGAAATAACCACAACAAAAGTACACAAATTTCTGGCAAATTTTTAATCAGGTATTTATTGTACTTTTTAAGTACAAGAATTGTTGTACGAAGTACAGTGGAATCGGCATGACGAGTGCTGTGCAGTCCAGGCCTCGTTGTGGTTCGTACAATTCTCGTTGTACATTCTACAACCCCTGTTGTACTTTTATTGTACAGTTTTTGTTGTACTTTTGTTGTACTATCCACACTTTTTCTCGCAGTGTATGACATTTTCAGACTTTGGAAAAAAATTGGAAATATGTAAGGTACTAATTAGTTTATTATGTGAAGAAATAGTTCTTAAAAAACTAAGTTGTTCCTCTAGGCTTGCTTGCTTATGCTTGCGGAGATACTCAGTTACAACCGGCTACCCTAAAGTCGCCTGTAGGCTAGTGTAGAGAGTTCACGAATGATTTCCAGACTGAGAGTACGCGCGGTTCGCGGAGTGAGTCAGCCGTCGCGTCTGCGCCGGTCGGAGGCCACCTGTTGGATGCATCCAGGGAAATCGGTCTGGAGTTCATTGCCGTATTGTGTCTTGCTCTCTGCGTCGACTCGGATGCAATTTGCGAATCAAGTTCAGTGCATTCTTAACACTTCTATTGCTACTAAGCGTGCAATTGGATATTGGATTTGCAGTGGTGCTGGACCTTAGTGTCCTTGGCCGTCGGTAGGGGCAGGCACCTAGATAGCCGCCTGGAAGGTAGGACAAAAGTGCCCCCACCCCCAGAGGCCGCACAGTGGGCCAGAGGACCGGTGAGGCGGCCAAAACTCTAGGCGCGTTTGAGCTCCAGAGTCGCTAAACAGGCCTCGAACCGAACCCGTGACCCCATCAATGGATTGCTTTCCGAACGAGGAATCCATTGGTGGGGTCACACGTTCGGTTCGAGGCCTCTTTAGCGACTCTGGAGCTCAAAACGCGTCTAGGGTTTTGGCCGCCTCACCGGTCTTCTGGCCCACTGTGGGCCGTCGGTCACCCCACTGAAGGCTGTGCGCGCCAACTCGTGCGCACTTAGGCCCGACACCGATCGAACACAGCCGAACAAGGCTACCAGTAGCCAGAAAAGCGTGGATACAAATCTTTCGTGGCTCAGTTGAGTTACCATCTGACAGAACAACGTATCTTCATGGGGAATCCCATGCTAGATACGCTGTTATGTACGAATGCCACCCAGTTGGTGCCGTAGCGGGGAGGTTGAGGGCCAAATCCCACTGTAGCGTGTCGGCCGGACAGCGTTCCGTCATGACATGACGTGTTGGGGTGGTGGTGGTGGTGGCCAATGTAACCAACTGCAATTTGAACACAGTTGAAAATCTGGAGCAAAGCTAGTGATGAATCAGGTGTACTGCGAAATTGCAATCGACCCTTTTGGTCGCCGCCGAGTGAAGAAAAATAGTAATCGAAAGGTCAAGAACGAGCCGCGCACCACCTTGCGGCCGTTACTGTAAATTGTCAAAAGGTCAACCCTGATTTAAGCCTCGGTCTGGACGAAGTTCACAGCAGTGGCCGCTAAGGGGCGCGCAGCTGGTTCCCGCTTTTTCCAGGGATCCTTAACTTACCTCATAAGGGCATCATAACGTTATCATAAGAGTTACACGATGGGTCCTATGAACAAAGACCGATGTCTTTTGGGTCGCTCAAACAAAGACCGATCTCCTTCGGGTCGCTCGAACAAAGACCGATCTCCATTTCGGCCGTTTCTGCATTCGCCGCTTCTTTATATTGTAGTTCTCGCAACAGACATCCAACTCAAACAATAGTTTGAAGGTTTTGTTCCTAACATATTAGAGAATGATTATCTTAAACTTATTTGTGTGGAATCCAAACGTAGAGATTGTTCTGGGACTTCAAAATGAACGCGTTGAGAGGTTAGGAAATGGAGATCGGTCTTTGTTCGAGCGACCCAAAGGAGATCGGACTTTGTTCGAGCGACCCAAAGGACATCGGTCTTTGTTCATAGGGCCCATCGTACAGTTATTACCCTTAACTTCGAACATCTTTTCAAAAGGGTAGGTTATTTTTTTATGTCTCGAATTTGTGTGGATATACTTTTGCAAGTACTTTCATAAGTCCGTACCCTTAACCTTTAGCGAACATTGTCTTATGTTACGTTATGACAGCAGTGTTAGTTAAATGTTGAGTGAAGTTAAGGATCCCTGGCTTTTCCATTATTTTTGTTCTTAACTAAGGGAGGACTGAAAGGGTCTGCAGGAAGGAAGTTTATGGCCCTCAAACTCTGTGAAGCAAGCGAAGGGAGCCTACAGTCGTCGTAATTTGGAAATTAGGGATCATGCACATACCACGTGACCCAAAAAGGCCACTTTTAGACCCCTCCCTCCCCCCTTGTGACCCTCTGTGACTCTTCGCCGACCCCTCCCCCCTCCCCCAAAAGTCACGTGGTAATTTTTGGAATTTGGTTATTGCGTTTTAGTAAGACTGCTTCGCCAATATTGTCGTCTTTTCATTGTTTCTTGGATTGCGTAAGATTCGAGTGTGAACAAGAAAGCTTTACCACAGCTGGACAGGACTGGAAAGGTTCACATGAACTGTCTATTAGGTATTTGTGCGCGCCCGCGTACGAAACCATGCGTTACGTGGTCAGTGTGATAATAAATTACTGTTGTTTGCTTGCTCACTGAAAACCTTGCGATAACTTGTTCGTTACAGAAAGATTGTCGTCGGGATGACCAATCATTTGTTCGCTGTTTGCAAACCTCCTGTTAGTAAAAAGAACGTGTTTGCATTGTGAACTCTTATTTGAAGTTTTTTTCGCCAAATTACGAAAGCAAAATTCTTTGCAAGCTGCGAACTGAGTGGTTTTTAATGTGAATAACACATTCCTCGGCAAGAGTGTGCTTGTGCTGTAAGAATTGTAATTTTTATTGAAGTGGCATCATCTTTAATTTTAAAAACAATGTGCAGGGCAGTCCGTTAAGTTCCGAAAAGTTCATGTCACGTGACTTTTTGGCAACCCCCCGTCCCCCCTTGTGACTTGCCGTGACTTTTTCGCGACCCCTCCCTCCCCTTAAATGGGTCACGTGGTATGTGCACGACCCCTTACATACTACTGAAGGCGAGTGAATACAGCTTAATAGCCGTTGAATAGTGGAAACGGAAAGCCCATAGTAAATGCGAGCGAAGCAAGCGAATTTTCGAGACTATTTGGGTATTTTAGCTCAAATTTGAACATATTGCAGATATTTGTCACTTCCTTTCGGGGTAAAACGGGGATGGAGGAAAGGGGGGGGAGGTTATAGTTGATTTAGGGCGACCTCTAACAGTGTGAGACTGTCTCGGACTTGAATTCGCTGCGTGCGTTTCCTATTTCTGTCGCTGCTTTCCCAGCCATCCCACCAGTGCACCTCATCCCGCTAAGAAAGCACTCAACTCGTGTTAGCGCATCGTAAATACCACCCCCACCCCCACCTCCCACTGTCCAGCGCCGGCCGGGCGGCGCCGAGGCCATGTTATCGACCCGGACTGCGCGTCGCGCCGGACCACGCGGGGGGTGGCGCAACACGCATGGAGGCAGGGGGTGGGGGTGGCGTGGAGCGCCTCGCGCCCAGCGCGTCGAGCGACGTGACGTCACAAGTGTATCCCTCCACTACAACCAGAGTTTTGCATTTTCCCTTCATGCACTCTCAGACTGTTATTGACTTTTTGTCCTTTGTTAAAAAAAGAGTATTTTACACAACAATAAAAAGCACTATTTCCTCAATATGTATGTAAGATTTCATTCGTTATATTGACTTAAAGCCAATGTGCTATTGACAGAGTCAATACGTCATCGACTACAAAAAAAGTCAATAATTGATGACAATTTAGTTTTATAGTGAATAATATTGTACATGGTTACAAAGTAAATACCACATATTATTGCTGCTTAAAAAACTACGTAAGCAAAGGATTAAAAGTCAATAATTGTGAGAAAAAAAGTCAGTACGAGTCTGAGAGTGTGTTTGAACTTGTTTGAGTGGGGAAGCTTTTATTCGGTTCTGTGTCCTGATGAGTTTTGGTACCGGTACCTCTGCCGCCAAACAGTGCACTGTGGGAAAAAATCACAGTAAATCCTGTTGTGATTAGTACAGCTGTCACTGTAGTTCAGCGTACAGGATTTACTGTACTTTTTTACAGGATCTACTGTACTTTGTACGGGATTTATTGTACCACGGGGGTGGAGTACGGAATATCCTGTACCAGGTACAGTAAATATTGTAGCCAGGCACAGTAAACCCTGTGTTCTGAACTACAGTGAATCCCGGCAAAAAAATTAACGGGATATTCGCTGTGGTTTTTTCGCACAGTGATGCCTGCGGGGGGAAAGGTCGCACAACGGACTTGAGTGCGACTGAACGGTAATTCAAAGTCAAACTATCGATTTGAGGTAAATGTGGAATGTGGAACTATACCGCCAATTTCCGAGTGGCACCGCTCGGATGTGTCCCTCCCTGCTAGTATTTTGACTCTGAGTCGGCAAGGGGTCGGATAGAATCCCTGTGCAGAGGGCTCGCCCAGCCTGGCTACGCGTGCGCGTCTCCCAGTTGGCCTTGCCTCTCCGCCAGGAACCGGTTGGTTCCGGTCAGCTAATTTGCATTAACCCCGGGTTCCAGCACGCAATGTGAATGCACACAGTGCGCTCCACAGCGCTCGGCCCAGGGCTCAAACGACACCCCAGTCCCAGGAGACCCAGGGCTCAAGTGACACCCCAGTCCCGGGAGAACAGTCTGTGCCTCTGCATCTAATGCGCACATACACACACACACGTTTAAAACCTTA